CCACCCACCCAGGAAGGACACAGCAGGACACCCACCACCCACCCAGGAAGGACACAGCAGGACACCCACCACCCACCCAGGAAGGACACAGCAGGACACCCACCACCCACCCAGGAAGGACAGGACACCCACCACCCACCCAGGAAGGACAGGACACCCACCACCCACCCAGGAAGGACACAGCAGGACACCCACCACCCACCCAGGAAGGACAGGACAGGACACCCACCACCCACCCAGGAAGACGCGGCAGGACACCCACCACCCACCCAGGAAGGACACAGCCACCTCCAGAGCACCAGGCCCCTTACAGGGCCCCTATCTCCAGTCCTGTGCCTGGGTGGAGCTGCAGAGTGCATGTCTGTCGTTCCAGTGAGTCTGCAGCATGGTGGTCCAGGGGTTTCTAAGCGGGAGCCGTGGGGAGGAGAACCCCTCTCTGCTCACAGCCTGGTGCCCGCCCCCTCCAGTTCCAGAACCCCACTCTCAAGGGAGGAGGCCAGCTGGCCGCAGTAGACAACAAGTTGGAGCAAACATAGGCAGCATGTGAGGCGAAAAAGCAAATCCCTTAATTTATCCACAGATGAAAAGATTAAAAGGTCAGCAAATCAACTCCAGATCAGTGTAAGGCACTGTGCCAGGGGCCGAGGCTGGTCCAGGGTGCAGCCTCATGCTGGGGGCCAGGGGCGCCCGCCCCCCTCCCCACTACAGAAGTGTCGGGTCCTCGATGCCGTGGTCTGGGTTGCAGGTGAAGGCGATGGTGATGGCATAGCGCGTGCCCCAGCGCACCTTCTCCACGCGGTGGAGGTTCTCAGAGCCAGAGGTGAAGAAGGAGACCCGGCCTGCGAGAGGGAGGGAGGAGAAAGAGGTGACCCCCAGGCCACAGCCATGGCCAGGACCTCCAAGAACAGGGCAGCAACCACCCACAGACACAGACCGCTGCCCTGAGCAGCCAGTGCCTCTCACAGCGCTTCCAGGGTGCTGGAGACCGCACCCTGCCAAGCATCTGAGGTGTTTTTGTTTTTGTCTGTAATGGGGCTTGAACTCTGATCCTGGGCGCTGTCCCTTAGCTGGAGACCGCACCCTGCCAAGCATCTGAGGTGTTTGTTTTGTTTTTGTCCGTAATGGGGCTTGAACTCTGGGCCTGGGCGCTGTCCCTCAGCTCTTCAGCTCAAGGTGAGCACTCTGTCACTTGAGCCACAGCACCACTTCCCGCTTTTTCTATGTTTCTGGTACTGAGGAATCGAACCCAGGGCCTCATGCATGCAAGGCAAGCGCTCTACCACTGAGCCACCTTCCCAGCCCCCTGCTTCTGGTTTTTTTATTTTTTTTATTTTGTGGTAAGCCTTGCTAGGTACTCCGTTCAGCCAGGACAATGCTTTAAGTAATGCTGAGATCCCAGAGGGCCTCTGCTTGCCTGGCTCCCAGATTCTAGGCGAGTCCATTTCCCTCCCAAGGCTATGGCTGGAGGTGGCATCCCCGCCTTTCTTTGTTTTGTTTTGTTTTTGGTCAGCCATGGGCTTGAACTCTGGGCCTGGGTGCTGTCCCTCAGCTCTTCAGCTCAAGGCGAGCGCTCTACCACTTGAGCCACAGCGCCACTTCCTGTCTTCTGGTGGTTTATTGGAGATAAAGAGTTTCACAGACTTTCCTGTCCAGGCTGGCTTTGAACCGTGATCCTCAGAGTAGCTAGGATTACAGGCATGAGCCACCGGCACCTGGCCCAGCCTTTCATATTTGCAACTAAACCAAACCTTTGAAAAGGACAAAGAGTTCACCCCGCCAAGTGCCGCACACTAGGCATCAGCAGTCTAGGAACGCCAGAGCAGTGGCAGCTCCAGGGAGACGGTCAGGCCTGGGACTCCTGCACCCACCGGGCCGGTCCAGGCACTCTGTCCACGGAGATCTGGCGTCGACGCTTTCCATGTTGTGGTTTACAACAGTTGTCCTTGATTTCTAGAGGTCAGAACTAGCAGCCCAGGCGCGGTCCACCGTGGGCTCACGCTCGCGTGTGCCTGCACCGCCCACCCACCTGTCCTCCCGCCCCGTCCCCGCCACCCTCTGCCCAGACACGGTGCAAAGGACAAAGGAGGCCAGGGGACGCAGGAAGCATCTGTCCGCGGCCCTGAGGCCCATTCCCCTCCCCTTGCACCCGGGCAGCAGCCAGGCCTGGGCCACGCCCGGACAGCGCCCACCTCGGGGCGCAGGCCCAGCCTCGCTCCGTGACCAAGGAACAGGCCCGGGTGACCGTGCTTTCTGGAACCCTCAATGTCACCTGAGGGCCCGAGCAACAGGCGACATACAGGAAATGGCTTTGAGATGCCCAGGGCCCCGCGCCTCAGGAGGCTGAGGCCGGAGGACCGCGGTTCAAGGCCGGCCCGGGCCGGAAGTCCAGAAAGCCGGAAGCGGCGCGGTGGCCGCGGCGGCCAGCGC